GAATTGTTTTTTTTTATGTTTCTTGTTTCCTTTATTCTGTTACCCCTTCGAATTAAGATCCAATGCTACCAACCTTAGACATAATGTCAGAATAAATCCAGCAGCTATAAAGGCTTATTAGGAACCCTAATGGTTGGTCATCAGACAGAGTTGGGTTATAAAAAAAATACCTAAGCTTTGGACATTGAGTATTTGTTCAGGCCATCATCTGAAAAATAATGACACTATTGAAGAAAATGTAGCTGAGAGGTTGCTGTTAACAGAGATCCACCACTGATGTTTGTCTTGAACTTTAAAAGATGTTTGGAAGTTTTGAAAGAGAGAAAGTCAGCTAAATGCTTTCTGCAACAAGCCACACAGATAATATGTGCAAAAAAGGTACGAACAAAACTAAAGTTTTTGGTCTACACTAGAACTGGTTAAAAATGGATAAAACGAAAATGAAAAACATTAAAGGAGAATCTTGCAAGAAACCTCTTTGGATGCTACAATACACTTTTGACCAGGGCCAAGGTTCATTTTCCAGCAGGACAATGAACCTAACAACTATCTGATGACTGTAATGAATAGAGTCCATTGTTTGTGGACACCCGCCAGCCTACATCTGATTGAACCTTGCTTTGTGCCATGGTGAGCTGTCATTTTCAAATAAGAGGCAATGCATTATCAAATTGTTTCCTACACAGCTGGGTGCATGAACATTTTCCAAAGGTACTTTTATGTTGAGGCATGATGGGTTTCTTTTATGCATAACACAATGCAGTCAGGAAGGTTATGTTCTCCTAGAAATTAGCAAACCCAGACTAATCTACTGGCCTTTCAACCAGAGAGGCAGGATTCATATCTCCAGAGATGCTTTGCTCTGTTACTCTGGATGCATTGCATTTAGTGATGTCCCAAAGGCTTGGTTGTGGCTACTTCTCTAAAAGCAAAGCTCTTGAGCAAATCTGAAAGCTGTATGGAGCTTGAAGGTCTGCAGTTACAGACATGAACTTCTAATATTGTGCAGGAAGTTGACCTCTTTGAACTCGACACATCAGCTTATATTGACCTCATGCTGAGATTTTACATACAGGTGCTGGTCATAAAATTAGAATATCATGAAAAAGTAGATTGATTTCAGTAATTCCATTTAAAAAGTGAAACTTGTATATTATATTCATACATTACATACAAACTCATATATTTCAGATGTTTATTTTGTTTAATTTTGATGATTACAAATGACAACAAATGAAAATCTCAAATTCATCATATCAGAAAATTAGAATATTACTGAAGACCAATAAAAACAAAGGATTTATAGAAATGTTGGCCAACTGAAAAGTATGAACATGAAAAGTATGAGCATGTACAGCACTCAGTATTTAGTTGGGCCTCCTTTGGCCTGTATTACTGCAGCAATGCGGCGTGGCATGGAGTCGATCAGTCTGTGGCACTGCTCAGGTGTTATGATAGCCCAGGTTGCTCTAATAGTGGCTTTTAGCTCTTCTGAATTGTTGGGTCTGGTGTATTGCATCTTCTTCTTCACAATACCCCATAGATTTTCTATGGGGTTAAGGTCAGGAGAGTTTGCTGGCCAATTAAGAACAGGGATACCATGGTCCTTCAACCAGGTACTGGTAGCTTTGGCACTGTGTGCAGGTGCCAAGTCCTGTTGGAAAATGAAATCTGCATCTCCAAAAAGTTGGTCAGCTGCAGGAAGCATGAAGTGCTCTAAAACTTCCTGGTATGTGGCTGCGTTGACCCTGGACCTCAGAAAACACAATGGACCAACACCAGCAGATGACATGGCACCCCAAACCATCACTGACTGTGGAAACTTTACACTGGACTTCAAGCAACGTGGATGAAGTGCCTCTCTTCTTTTCCTCCAGACTCTGGGACCTTGATTTCCAAAGGAAATGCAAAATTTACTTTCATCAGAGAACATGACTTTGGACCACTCACCAGCAGTCCAGTCCTGTTTCTCTTTAGCCCAGGCAAGACGCTTCTGACGCTGTCTGTGGTTCAAGAGTGGCTTGACACAAGGAATGCGACAGCAGAAACCCATGTCTTTCATACGTCTGTGTGTGGTGGTTCTTGAAGCACTCACTCCAGCTGCAGTCCACTCTTTGTGAATCTCCCCCACATTTTTGAAGGGGTTTTGTTTCACAATCCTCTCCAGGGTGCGGTTATCTCTCTTGCTTGTACACTTTTTTCGACCACATCTTTTCCTTCCCTTCGCCTCTCTATTAATGTGCTTGGACACTGAGCTCTGTGAACAGCCAGCCTCTTTAGCGATGACCTTTTGTGTCTTGCCCTCCTTGTGCAAGGTGTCGATGGTCGTCTTTTGGACAACTGTCAAGTCAGCAGTCTTCCCCATGATTGTGTAGCCTATAGAACTAGACTGAAAGACCATTTAAAGGCTTTTGCAGGTGGTTTGAGTTAATTAGCTGATTAGAGTGTGGCACCAGGGGCCATCAATTTTGAACCTTTTCACAATATTCTAATTTTCTGATATGATGAATTTGAGATTTTCATTTGTTGTCATTTGTAATCATCAAAATTAAACAAAATAAACATCTGAAATATATGAGTTTGTATGTAATGTATGAATATAATATACAAGTTTCACTTTTTAAATGGAATTACTGAAATCAATCTACTTTTTCATGATATTCTAATTTTATGACCAGCACCTGTAGTTCCCAGTCGCTCCTGTTTTTGTTGGAAAGCAGAATCATGTTTAAGCAGACCGGTTCCACGTTGAGTTATAATGAGCTCCTTAGATTAACCCATTTTTTCACAAATGTTTCTAGATGCAGTCTGAACATCCTGGTGCAGGATTTGATAAACCTGTGGCCATGGGAGTCATTGAAGCACCAGAGTTGAATGATTTGGAGGAGCGAGTGGATACTTCTTGAAAAGGCTTTTATTGTTTGCAAATTTTATTTTCTGTCTGCTGGCAGTCAATCATTTCAGACTGAACACGAGGGTACTTGTAGGCGAGAACAAGAGCTACATCCAATCTTTGTTAAAAGGCCATGTGAGCACAATTAACAAAGGAAAACAGGGTTGGATGCTGAAAGGATTTGCTTTATGCAGGTATTGATTGTTTGTCTCATATAACAAACACTAACATATGAAATTTGCTTCTATTAATGAAAATTAAAAATTTTCTTATAGACAATTTCTTTTGTTTTATTGAAATCCTTTTATTTGGTTGTGTGGCTCTAATTATTAAAGTTTGCTGATTGCAGTGTGTCGAAGCAGGAGGTGTGTTTGGGTTTAATTTGAATACATAATTAAAAGCCTGGAAGTAGCCTGGTCATACATCAAACCTCATTTTACCAGAAACCACATTTTCTTGGTGTACAGTAATTTAAATGCAACATGTCAAAGCAAGGCATGTGAAAGGCTGTGCTCTGACTGCAGCATCAGGGAGGAGAATAATTAAACGAGCCATCCCTGATTCTTAGCGCTCTTTTCTCACAGATAGAGCTGATAGGTGATCAATACCGGTCAGACTCAATCAGTCAATATCGTCCTGCAGCCTGACTCTCTGCTCTGCTCCCCATCAACTGTTTCAGACCGAGCTGAAGCACCTGAGTGTCTGATACGTCCTCCAGCATCTCTGTCATTTGTCTTTAGATTTGTCTTCATCTGATAAGCCCCCGTCCCCCCACCCCATGGTGATTTATGCTTGTCCCCAGTTGTCACCGCAGGACACTACAGGTCCATGCTTCTTGGTGCAAACTCATTAAGTCTCGTCCTCCCTTTTTTTCTCACAGTATCAGGAGGCTGTCACATGCAACCTTGTTTCTGAGACCTGTTTCATCTATTGTGACTTGGGTAGAGGTTGAGAACAAAACACTCCCCTGTTCAGCCATTGTTTTTTTAAATAGTTAGGTTGTTTAAGTTGACTTTTTGCTGTGTCATTCTTAGAAGTAAATGTTTAATATGTTACACTGAATTGTAAATGTGCAACACAGCTCTCTCTCCCTGCTTTTCTCCTGGTTCCTTCCTCTAATTTTTCATTTTCTCATTTTTCCCTCAACGTCTCCCTCTACAGGCAATTCACAGGGAGCGGTGAAGTGTGAAGGAAACAATTTGTTCTCATATGTGCGGCCCTGGTCATTGACACACTCTGGCTTTCATGCAGACAGGAAGAAATTCCTGCTTTTATAAACAGCGGCTGAGAGCTGCTTGGCTGCAGAGGTGATGAGTAGCTGAAAACAGAGAAAAAATGTTTCAGGGACTTTCAGTATCATGGACACTGAAGGTATTTAAAAAATATTTAAAGATCTTTGTAATCACTGATATGTCTTGAAATGTAATGAATGAAAATTACAGCTTAAATTCACACAATAGTCCTGTTCCTATCCCAAAATGCTGGAACAATCATGTAAGCCATCATTACTACTCAGACTACTACTATGTAGGGAAAGGTACTCTGTAATACCATTACACTACTACTCAGCTTGGCTCACATTTGTTGCTCACATTTGTGTTTCTGAAATATCTTCTGAAAAAGTGCTATCCATTTGTATACGTATTTCATTATATATGATATATATATGATATATATACTGTATATATATAAAAACTAACTACTAAAACTATATATATATAAATTATACTTATTTCCCTTGCCATTGTCACATCATTATGCTTTGATCTTTACCATCCCAGTGCAGTTAGTCAATATTTACAAAACTCTTGAACCAAATTCACCTGTACATACAAATTTTACAAAGTAATTTTGATGACATCACAGTAAGATGTGATGGTTTGTAGGACATGAACTGATGATAAAAGTACAATATAAAAAAATGAATAAAAATTCGATTGGATCATTTAATCAAAAGCCTAATTACTCCATGCTTTACATTTTATTCCAATAATCGTGTGATTTTTTTTTATTATTGGATTGTGGCTCTTCACATTAAATGAATAAGACCTCCGGGTCGGTAGGTGGCAGTATGCTCCTGTTGAGCCACCAATCAAAACTCCCGAGTAGGAAGTAGAAATCCGGAAGAGACGTGGCACATAAACACACAGAGGAAGCTTATGATGACATCCTCTGTAGCAGCATTCAGTTGGCATTTATGGAGACACATTGAATGACAGAATTAAAGCTCTACTTAAAACGAAGGAGTTTCCTTTAGCAGCCGTCAGTGTGGAAGCTGGTTAGGTGAGTGTTCACCTTTGTTACTTCCTTAGCTCATGTGGCTAGCTTCATTAGCTCTTCCAGCTAGCAGCTAACTAATGTGGGAAACGCTAAATGTGTAAAAGAAGCTGTCAGAAGTGGTTTTAGCCGAAATGAATTATTTATTTCAAAAAACGCCTTCCAAGCGTTTTTCTTAAACTCCTGCTGTTTATTATATTTGATGAGGTTGAGCTTTGTTAAGTTGAATTAATAACTGCGTGATTTAGAAACAGTTGGCAACATGGATGTAACAAAGATAGGTGATTTGAGTGCTTTGACTGTTTTATAAACATTAACCATCAGTTGATCAATTAAATGTATACTAACTGTTTTACTTGCTGTTTAGGGGACATAATCAGATTAAAATACTGAATTTTATCATTGTTTTCCAATGGGACTTGTTTTTTTGTTTTTTTTGCATTGTTGTTGTGTTATTAAGTAATTTACTATTTTTTGACCTCTTTTTGGATACTGGAAAATAGATAAAAATGAAAATAATTGGAGATATTTAAGATCCATCTGAACAATATAGATGCAATCTTTTTTTTTCTGAGATGTTTAAAATCTCGAAGTAAAAAACATAAGGTTTCAGCATAAGGTTTTTAACCTTATGCTGAAGCTACAATAAATGAATAACACTATGTTATATTTAAGACTACACTGTAGGTGTAATTCTCTTTAAAAAAAAAAAAAAAATTGGAACATACCTTTGTTTTTTATTTTATTAAGTTAAATAGTAAATTGGAATTGATTGATTTTTATGATCCAGTCTTAAACATCTGGAGAAATATTGAAAAATAAAAATAAAAAAATAGTTAACCAGAAAGTACTTCCTACATGTCTAATATAATACATAATACATCCATCCTTTCACTCATCCTCCACAATAACTTCTAATCTGTGATTTTTGTGCGTTCTGAAAGAAAACCTTACTATTGTGATTCTATCTCCGGTTGTTGAGGTTTACTTTAATAATAAAACTTTAATAAAAGTTTTAATTGGATCAAGAACTCTTAATATTTATAGTTATGGAAACTGTTTTTATGTATAATAGTATCTCATTAACTCTGTGGAAGTGACACAAAAAAAAATTAATAACTCAAACTCAACAGACTTGCTTGTCAGGTTTCCAGAGCGGCATTCTTTCAAAGGGATCTTTTAAATTTACCTTTGGGGTTCTCGTAACGGGTCATGATGGTTATGTCTACATCTTCCAACAGGTGATAAACTTTGATCATTATGGAAGGATTCCTAATAAGCTTAGTCAGAGAGGAGCAAGGGTGGTTATTTTTTTTAAAATCATTAAGGTTTAGAAAAGTGCTTTTTAAAATTTACAGTGTCATACCAGGTGGCTGTTACATTGAAACTTAAAATAGATACGGTGTAAAATCACGGTTCTTATTAATGACCAAAGAGTGGGAAATATCACAACAGAAGCTTATCTTGCTAAATGGAGGGTTAGGCTTTTGTAACAGAATGATTTAAAGATGTTAACTTAAGCTGACATTTTAAGTCAGCTTTACTTTTCTAATGATTTTCATTAGAATATCCGTTAAACATGGGTTTACTTCACATGTTTGGGTGCAAAACTGCCACCATCCACTTTCTAAATACTTATTGACTAGTACAGCACCCTCCACCATTAGTGGCACCAGTTGTAAAGATTTTTCTTTTTTAATGATTGGAAGAAATACATTTTTTTATTGCTGCATTATATGTTTTTGCTAAATAAATGGTTGCACCTCTCAACAATGTCTATAAAGAAATGTAACTCAAGCCTTTTTCTGATGCATATTTAATGACTATGAATTTACACAAACATAACATTAACTTTTTATTCTACTTATCATACGGGGATGTTTGTTGTCTTTAAAATGGAAAGACGAGTGAGCCCTTATAAGCAGGACAGTGTTATGAGCAGAGTTCCTACATGAAGCTAGCTCATATGGAAAAAGGTCAAAACAACATTTTCTTTACTGACTGGTTTCAATAATTATCATGTTACGGTTTCAGATTAAAAGCATTGTCTATAGATAATATTAGTATCAAGAAAACATTGAAATAAATCTTTTCCTTTTTTTAGTAATTGAAAAGTATGGACTTAATTCTATTAGGGCAGGGTTATTTGTCAATTTTTTTGATTAATTGTAATTTCTGTTATTGAAGGATTAATTCACATGTTTCTTTGTTTCCTTTTGGGGTTTTTTTTCTTTACCAATCCACTCCTTGGGCTTCCATAGCTTAGAGTAACATCAATTCATTACTTTTTGTTTGTATATGTCAACTCATAATTCAACTCATAATAAACTAGCCCCCCAATACCACTAGCTGCTAATATTTAGTGTGTTATATGTTTATTATTCGCTTGAATTTCATTGGCCTTTAAATTAAGGTGACTTCCCAGAAGGAATAACTGAAATAAAAGCTCATCTTTTAAAGAAAACACATGTAGTTTTTCTTTATTTTTATCCAATTTACATCTCGACTTGTAAACATTAGAACAACTTCTAGCCTGGTGTTTTTCATCACTTGGGCACAAACTTAGTTTTAAGACACAGTGCTTCAAAGTAGTAAACTTGAACCTCACACTATGCATGATGTCCTTTTATGATCAGGGATGCTGCACTTCATTGGATTAGGTTTTCTAAATACTTGTTCACAGAATGAGCTTGTCTCCATAGATACATTTCTGCACCTACCTTTTCCTTTGCCTTAAAGTATTGTTTTATTACCAGTAACTGATCTGAATTTATTATTTTCCCCTCACACAGCACATGTGGCTATGGGTCTCTGCAAGTGTCCGAAGAGGAAGGTGACCAATTTGTTCTGCTTCGAGCATCGTGTGAACGTGTGTGAACATTGCCTTGTTTCAAACCACAACAAGGTAAATGGGGGAGGGGATTGGCTTTGTCTTGTGATATCTATTTGTTTAACACTTGGAGCTTTGCAGTAACATTTTGTGTTTCCACTTGTTGCTCTTCAGTGTATTGTCCAGTCTTATCTTCAGTGGCTTCAGGACAGCGATTACAACCCAAACTGTACTCTCTGCAATAATCCGCTCACTACACAAGACACGGTCAGGCTGATCTGCTATGGTAAGATGATATCTTTATAAATTCAAAGTACTTTAAGGGATCAAGCTTGGCTAGAGGAAGTATTCATCAACCCCTCTCTTTATCAATCAACAGATGTTTTCCACTGGGCGTGTCTTAATAGCCTGGCATCTCGGCTGCCGCTCCATACGGCCCCAGCAGGGTACCAGTGCCCCACCTGCCAGGGTCCAGTGTTCCCACCTTCAAATCTGGCCAGCCCAGTTGCAGATGTGCTGAGAGAGCAGCTTACGTCTGTCAACTGGGCTCGGGCTGGTTTGGGGTTGCCTTTGGTAATAATAATCTCTTCATATGGCATTGTGTGCTTTTATAATCAAAAGACTTAAATATGTATTGATTTTTAACTAATATAAAAAAAAATTTTTTTGGCAGATTGAAGAGCCGGTTGGGGTTCTTGAAGGAACAATCGCTAATGATGTTTCTGACTACACAGACTGGTCAACATTTGATGGTGAAGAAAACTATTAATACCTGTTGAACTTCATCAAATAGTGGTCACATTACAGCCACAAAACTGATTGTAACAAACTCTGATTTAAAATGACAGAAAAGCACAAAGTAGTCCATTATTTGAATGTCAAAAGAAAATGATTTATGGTTTTGCCATTTTATTTAAAAATCCAAATTTAAATCAGTATGTTTTGGGACAGAAATCATTAATCGGTCAATACCTAGATTTTGGCAGAGTGGCGGCCTAGTGGTTAGGGCATAGGGCTTGGAATCCTGAGATTGTGAGTTTGAAACCCACTCCCACAGACTGCCACTCTGGGTCTCTGAGCAAAGACCCTTAACCCCTGATTGCTCCCCAGGCGCTGCACAGTAGTAGCCCACTGCTCCCCAAGGGGATGGGTTAAATGCAGAGGGTTAATTTCATCTTGTCAGATCAATAGAGTTAAATGTATTACTTTATTATTATAATGAGAGTTGGAGAGCCAACAGAAAAAAAGTAGTTAATTTAAAGGAGAGTGTCAAGTTGCCAGGAGTAGCAGCCTAGCTAAGATCCCCCACCTGGAAGCTGCCCCAGCTGAACAGAATGCAAGAAAAGATGTAGATACAGTGGAGAAAAAACAACTATAGGTCACTACGTTAGAGGTGGAAGTCATGTCGACCATAGAGAGGTCAATAATAAAAGAGAAAATGAGAACGAATTTCAAATGATCAAAGTGGACAGAGCCAATTAAAATGGTCTCACTGGGCTTAATTCTTTCCACTGGATCAAGGTTTTCACTCTGCCCCACTCTACGCCACCAAGGTTAACCCTTGGTATCAAAAAGAGAAAAATGATGTGTAAATGAAAAAGAAAACTAAAGTCTGCAGCATTTCAGTTACAGCTTAAAGAGCCTAGTTATGAACTATGGCTTTACATAATTTATACACCAGTAACTTACTCTGGTTGCAGGAAAGGTTGTTTCCCCTTAAATGTAGGGCTGGGTATTGTTCAAAAATTTTCGGTACCGGTACCAATACCGATACCTTCACTTCGATACCGGTTCCTGAACGATACTTTTTTCGATACCAGTTTTATAATATCAATTCGAAGAAAAAGAAAATTACACAACATAAAAAAGTACAAATCTTGAGTTTTATTTTAAGCTCTGATTTTTCCATTTACATTTTTCCTCTTACATAAAAAAAAAAAAAAAAATCAGTGTCTAATATTCACTGTAACATTGTGAGGACCCTTTTACTTAGCAGTTTACCATGTCTGACAAACAAGCCCGTTGAATGGGATCCTACTGACAGCGCACCGCTGGTATGTGGGGGTCTGAGCGGCTCTGACAAAGAATATTGGAAGGCTGATATGGATGAACTGACTGCAGTGATTAAGTTTTCAGGTGGATTTTCCCACTTAAAAACATAATAAAACTACTTTATTCCCACTGATCACAGCAAATATAGCTGCAAGGCAAATAAAGGATAGAGTAGCTCCGCCCAACGCGCATCAGAGCCACTTTTGCACCGCGCAGCCAGAGCAGCAAAGCAGCTTCAGCCGCGCGTCAGAAGCTGGAACAAGCATCAAAAAAGGAAGCAGCAGACGTGATTTTGCTTCTCCTGCTGCGTCCAGTTTGAAATTGCAGCATTATTACAGCATTACTCTTTGCTCTGCCCACGGGCTGCTGAGAGGAGGATGGTCGCGCCGGCTGCGGTCCGCTCTTCTTGCAGTCAAACACCGAGCAACTTTCCGGTCTTAAATTGTCTCCGTGCACGATGTATTGCATTGCGCACTATTAGCATCAGTCTTAATAAAGTGAAGCCGCACTTTTGACCTGGGGGGCATTTTAAAGGGTTTCCGCGACGCTCACAACCAGTTCACAACAGAAACACATGAACCCTGGCTGTAGGCGTGACCACCTGTGTATTTTTTCTGGATGACGCAATCACGTTAAGTGTTACAGCCAATCACCGAAACTTGGTACCGAAAGACGAGGCATGTTTCGATACCCTGTAGAACCGAAGCATTTCGGTCGGTACCATAAAAGAACCGAAGTTCGGTACCCAGCCCTACTTAAATGATTGCTCCCTCTGGACTCATTTAACGATATTTCTGTGTAATACACTTTTTCTGCTCTGTTTGTTAGTAAACAAAGCTTTTATTTATATATATATATATATATATATTAGTGCTGTCAATCGATTAAATTTTTTAATCGCGATTAATCGCATCAATGCCTGAGTTAACTCGCGATTAATCGCATTTTAATCGCACATTTTTTTCCTGATTGAAAATAATTTAAATACTCTCGATGACATACAAAAAAATACATACAGGCTAGGTTTGTGCCAATGTTCTTTTTTTAAAATGAAAACAGGTCACAGATACTGATTTATGCCATAGAAACATAAGGCAAGAAGATGGGGAGGCATGTAGCAAAAAATAACAAATATGTAGCCAAAAAAAAGGCCCTGAAAACAGGCTGATGTAAAAGACAGTCTTTACAGTTAATACAGTCTTTTGAACAAAGACAAGCATTTTACCCTACTGCTATAAAATTTAGTAGAGTTAACATTAGATGTTAATTAACCAAGATAATAATGAACAATTTTCAATCAATACATCAAAATCAATAGACCGACATCACTAGATGGAGGTTCTATGCTCTAGAAAGTTACTTTTCAGCCTCTTAACAAAAATGAGAACACACACAGACACACCCACCCACACACACACACACACACGCGATACCGACCTGTGGCGTACACAGACAGCAAGACGTGCCGTAGCAGATTCCATTTCACCTCAGTAATCTGTTTTCTCAGCGTATTTCAGGTTGCTACTAGTTACCAGACACTCAACTTGTTTGTTGGTGGTGGGGCTTAAAGAAAAGGCACGAGCGTCACCCAGTGTATGAGCGTCTTTTTCCCTTGAGGAGCTCCGCTCTGGAAGCCTGTGAGAAATGCATAGACTGGGGGAAAATAGCCCCGCCTTCCCGCAGGCTGCAGCGGGATGTACTTGGAAAATTGTACCATAAAACCACATAGCGTTAATCTCACGTTAAAAAAATTATCGCCGTTAAAATGGCCTCGCGTTAACGCGTTAATAACGCGATAATTTTGACAGCACTAATATATATATATATATATATATATATATATAAATATATAAATAAAAGCTTTGTTTACTAACAAACAGTGCAGAATATATATATATATATATCATAACAAGACGACGTTACAATGAGTTAAAAAGAAAGATCCTAGATGTATATTATGTCTATTGTAGAAGCAATGAAGCTGAGCAAGTCAGCAGTATGAGGTGTGGATGTGAAGAAAAGTCCCAAGATCTAGTGAAAAATCACAAAATTAAATTTGCACACTCAAATAATTATGTCTGCTGATCGAGTCCATGCAAGAAACTTTTCAGGCTCTAAAAGAACTGTTTTTGTTTTTTATTTATTGTTTATATTTTTTTTTTCTTTTTTTTTTATAGTCATAGTATCTGATGACGTCCCTTTAAGGTTTTAAAGTATTAACAGAGCCTAAACCCTAAATGTAGTTAAAAGAAGGTCTAAAGTATGACCACGGAGTTGAGTAGGTGTATGGAGGTTTTTAGCAAAGTTAATTCACAAATTTCTCCATCCAAACTGGGATGGATTTCATCTTTCTGAATCAAATCAGGAATTTTCCCTAAAAGTTAATCAGTTAGTAGTATCCCCCACACTGTTTTTTTTTATTTTTTTATTTTTTATTTTTTTTTGTACCACCAGTTAAATAACTGCATTTTATGAATACAAACTTGAAAGTCAGTAAAGATTAGCACAGGGTCCATTTTAATATATTACCCCTTTAAAAAAATGACACTGATCCAAAGGTCACTTAAGGTCACCCCTGTCTTTCCTGATTTGCATTTGTAAGACCTTTTGGGGTCTGTGTCTTATTTTCTGTCCACCTTGCTATTAAGCCCGTTTTGTGTTTGTTTAGCTGAAAAGTTCAGGACATTACAAAGTATTTTAGTGGTTTTAATGTGCCGTAATGTGGATGCTGATGTGATTTTCATTTATTTATGTCTTCATTATTTAAATAATGAAACTCCATTTGCTCTCACAGCCCAAGAAAAACATGCCGCATATTCCAGTCACTCCTATAACACTAGCCTCAGCCCACCTGCCGTCTCAGCTCCACCACAAGAAAGCGACGGACGTCTTCATAAAAATGGAGATCCCAATATATCGGAGCATTCTGTAGTCAACATTCCTGCTGCTACCCCCAGTGACACTATTACATTACACACAGGTAGAGTCAGAGAAAGCATTTTTCTTCCAGTTTTTGTGCTTCTGGCCCAACTTTGTCTCTTTATGTTTTCTAAAATAATTGAGGTGTTTTTTTCTTTCTTATTACTATTCAGCATCATCACCCAGAAAGGTCTATGACACACGGGACGTCCACAGCTCTGCCACACAGATTGATTTTGATGATGATAAGTACCGGCGGCGGCCAGCCCTCAGTTGGTTTGCACGGATTTTAAAGTAAGCCTTTAAATGCTGGGTTGTTACACATGGTCCTCTTTGTTTACTTTGAGACCTTGCTATACATTAAAACATTGTTTTATTTTGTGTCTACTTTCTTAAAACCTTTCAGAAACCGCACTGGAGGAAAGAAGACAGCTCTTTCCTGGAAGCAGCGAGTCTTCATGCTACTTTTGGTTGGAGTTCTGGGATTCTTCACCCTTATAATCATCATGGCTAAACTGGGACGGGCCTCTGCCGGCTCAGATCCAAATCTAGATCCTCTTCTTAATCCCAACATCCGTGTGGGCAAAAACTGAAGGGGGGGGAGCAGTGATGTGGGGTTTTTACCTGTGTGTTTTACAAGACGAGCAATGTTGGATTGGTCTGCAAAGGAGCTGATACATGGACAGCCCACCAGAGGGAGCTCTTTGCCCAACTCTAGAGGATGTTCCTCTTCCTTCCATCACAGCATGTCTGGGTCGTTCCTGATCAGGTTCCTGTGATTCCGATCAGGGAGCATAGAACCTTCGAGGTGACCAAGGTTCGGCTAATTTAAACACTTTATCTAGTTATTGCTGCTTTGGTGAAGAGGGGCAACGCTTTACTCAGCTAACATTTCTCTGTGATCTTGTAAGTTAACAAATTTCTGTTCTTCAGATTTCTTTTGGAAGCTTTGTCGAATGAGGAAACATCTGCTGGCAGAAATGTCAGATCTTATTTCTTTGTGAAAATAAAACAAATTCCTGCTATTATTAAAGAAGCTCTGTGTTGCCATGGCACCCGGAGTCAAACTTTCCCAACACCATCTCGCATTTCTACAACTGTGATGATCTGCATTATTACAAACAGTGCTTTGCTTTTAGATTTGCCATTCATACTGTATTCTGTTTTACTGATGGTTTTTTCGAGTGTCCATTAAATTGGAAAAACTACTAAATCACAACTTTTGCTCTGTTGAATCTTTTCAATTTCTACACAAGAAAAAACAAAAGTTTACGACCGCAAAGCATCTGACTGCTCTGTTTCATGTTGGTGCATAAATATCTCCTGCACGTTGTTTTTTTCATTATGACATTACAGATTATGTTGTAGACTTCCTGCCTCTAAGCAACATATTGATGCAAAAGTCGATAAGGTTCCACAAAAGAGACGTGGTGCTCTGTCCATCTGTTAATGACATTCAGAAATTATGGAGGGAAAAGCTGCAGCAGATATTTATCTTAACACTGAGATTATATTTATTTTAACAGATTATGTTGTGTGTAAAGCAATATTTACCGTGCTCTTTCATATTTGGTTATTATCACATAGTTCTGAATTCCTCTGTGAATTGTTTGATAAACCTACACAAACTGTAGCATTCAATACTTTATAGAACCACCTTTTGCTTCTTCACAGCTGGAAGTCTTTTGGGATATTTCCCACATTCAGCTCAACTGTGGCTGTTTTTTTTTTGGGCCGGCCCCCTGATGCACAGGAACACTTTTAATATCCATTTTTGGATAATTTTTGATAAAAGCTTTTTTTGTAATTATGCTTTGCTTTGAGTTTATTTTTGGCCCTGTGTTTATCCAGCAGCGTTATGAAATCAGACCACAGGTTATCTGTAAAATAAGGGTCTTTCCTTATTAGGGAGTAGGGTTGTCAAAAGTATCGATATAAAAAAAAGTATCGATATTGAAACGCTGTATCCGGATACAATACTCATTTTCAAAAGTATCGATACAGCCATCTAAAGTGCAGAATAGTGGAAAATGCACTATTTTAGTGCATTTTTCAGTTTCAGACTTTTTTTTTAACAGGTGCAGCTGCTGAGAATTATTTTTGTTTAACTGGTTTGGCTACTGTCATTGTTATGTGTGCAAAACATAGCCAAGGAAGGAACGCTTAATTTTAATTTTGTACGTTTTTTTATCAAGCTTGCTTAATATTGTGCACAGCATACAACCTCAAAATATTATTCTTATTGTTTTTTTATTTATTGTATTTTTTTAGTAATGAAAATATTTCTGTTGAATTTTAGAGTCTTTGTTTTTATTCTTGTGGTATCGAAAACGGTATCGAGTATCGAATAATTTACTTAGTATCGGTATCGAGTTGAAAAGTTCAGTATCGTGACAACCCTATTAGGGAGCCATTTAATTGATAATCTAACCTTGTGGCACTGATCTCTCATAATGGGACATCAACTGATTGACATCAGATTGCTTTGGGTTTTTTTGACATTTTTTCCCCACTGTGACAAAACCGATTTCAGTGGTTTTCAGTGGCTACTTTACTCATTCTTTTAGCATATCATAAAATATAAGTAAATTATTCTTTAGTCATTAATATAATTATTGAACATTTTATAGCCTTGACAAACCCTGATTATTAAAAACTGAACTTTAAGAATTTTCCCTGTTATCGAGGAACTGATGCTACACTTATTGCATTTGCCTCTGTCACTCTGAGGAGGTTTGGATTGTAAAACTCTCATTTTTATATTTTATACAGTGAACTAACATCATTGTGTTAAATGTTAAAACCATTAAACTGGCTGATTAATTCAAGTACTTTTTTGTTTGTAACTATTTGCATCTGAATGCAGAGTCACATGTTACAACTGACCCTTGGTTACGGAGAGTTGCACCACTGGGAACGGTTATAGCCTGTTCCAAATATAATGTATTTCACTTATCAAATAAAGTATTGTTCATTTATGACAGTAAAATAATTTTATTTAGTGGTAATAGCATTATTATTTGATATAATATTACGTGCAGTAATGCAGTATATGAGTGAAGCACTGGTTTAAGGGTTTGCACAATTATGCAACCGGATAGTCTTGGATTTCTATGGTTTCTGTTTTTCCATATTCAGATTTGTTGTAATGATGAATTTTGCTGCATATGCCTGTTTAATGCTTAAGATTTTACTTAAAATAAACAACGTACACATTCTTCATGACATTAAGTTTAGAAGTTGGAGCAATCAGATTTAAAAAGGTCCTTCATTTTTTCATTTCATTTTTCCCTGCTTTTAAATTTTTTTTCTGTATTATGTGCAAAGTTATAAAAATCCTTACTCTCACATCACATGCTAGATTTGAAAAAACTGAATTTATACATACATAATACATTTCAAATCAAAAGTTACAAAACTTTTTACAATTTTGTTTTCATGTCTTTAGAAATTTGTAATGCAGAGGTTTTTCCTAAATTCTGTCTTTTTCTTTTATAATCAGAAAATTCATATTCGTCTTCTAATCATAACCCGAAAAACATATCCGAGCCACCTCAGCTTCCTCCTCTTGATGTGGAGGAGAAGTGGCTCCTGGATGATCCAGCTCCTAACCCTATCGGTAAAGGAGTGCCCAGCCACTGTTTTCTAATGGCCAGCTTTTCTACATTTTTTTTAACCTTTAGTTAAACCCACGAACTTCTAGTGGTCTACATTCATACAGTATGCCACTTCACATCTCTGGCTTTAGTTTGTAATGTGTTTATCCTCTATTTAGACACAAAGAGCGCATATAAAATACATCTTGGCTCTATCTGTACTACAAATTTTCACTCGGAGACAGCGGGATGTCATCCTGATGAAGAACACTTCAGCGTGCTGCAGGATAGGAAACTCAAACCCCTAAATACCATCTGGAGGTGCCAAAAATAAATTGGTTTTCAGATCTTAGGAAACAGTTGCAGGCTTCCCTCATAAAAAAAAGAACTGTCCTCACACCCAACAACATGCATGTGACACTTTCCATCGTGTTGGTGACAGCATCACAGCTTCGCCATATTGATTGTGAGCTTATTTGAGTCAATGATGAATTGATGCACAAAAGGCTGCTGGCTGTTTCATGCATGCACTGCTTTGGAGCAGTCCGACACCCATCAAACTGTTTTGCATAAAGTCACGTTGCAAAACCAACGAATGCATTTCATTCAGCTTTCATGTAACAGAACACATAGTAGCAAATGATTAAGAAGAGGAAGGATTCATGGTTTTACATGTAAAATGCTAAACAGGAAAACAGAACAGGGCACTTCACGAGAAACAAACGAACCTTAATGTGATCCATGGTGGTGGCAGCATCATGCTGTAGGGATGCTTTTCTCCAGTGGGTACCAGCAAAGTGGTCCTGAGTCTAAATGGTTATTATTGGAGTTGCAGAGGCTGACCTTCCAGCAGAAACTGTTAGAAGGGGAAAGAAATATCCAAAGCTCAGAAAAAATGTTTCATATTGTAACTAAACTTCTCCACCATTGATTTACCAACATGTCTGATCTGTTCCTTCAGCTGGATTTTTACTAGAAATTTAATGACACAGTAAAAAACAAATATAATAATATATATTATATATATTATTGTGCAATAATCCAGTGCAACTGGATTTTTTTTTGGGTGCAACACTATCTTTATGCTTTTAACTCTTTATGACTTAGACTTAGACTTCTTTATTTGTCATTTTTGCGTTACATACAGCTTATGAGCATTGCATTGATATTTCAAATGGCACGAGTTATACAAAAAGTGCAGCAGTTTTCAAAGTGTAAACAGTGCAGAGGATAAAGACAGTGTGCAAATTGCAATGGTTCAGTGCAGATAGGCATTTGTGCAAAAAATGCGTTATTTAGAATAGAAATGAGATGAACTTAAAGGGCTAAAAGTTAAACGTTCAGCAGCATTGATGCCCGATAATGTGCAATAGGTGCAGAGTTCGGTTTGTGGATCAAAGGTTCAACAGTCTGATGGCAGTGGGGAAGAAGCTGTTGCAGAACCTATGCTTTCAACTCTAGATTTCAGAAAAAATCTTAAACCACATTTCATTAGCCTTAGACTTAAAATGTTAAAGCCATCTTGCGTTGATCAACCACATTAAAAAAAGACACTGATCTGCAAAGCTGTGAGTTGACACAAATTACAAAAATTTAAGTGGTATGAAGACTTTTGCAAAGAATGTTATTCTTATTAGATCAGAGGAAAGATCATGACTCCAGCTTTATTGTATCATTTTTACTCTTGTGTCTGTATGTATATATGAACTGGATTCAATAGCATCCAAAGTTCAGTGGCTTTTTTTGACATTATTGGAGTTCAATGCTGCTCTCAGTAACTGAGTTATTAGCTTGTCCATTCCACTGACATAATAGGGACACACTCATCAATAATTTGATTCTGTTGTCAACATGTCACACTGTAATTTGCACCTCCACTGTAGAGCGTATCTATTTATACAGCAGCCCTTAAACAAAGAAATACAGCTGAAAGACCTCTACTTGAACATTTGATACAGAGATATACATAGAAATGGGTATTTGTAAAGCAGAACGCAAAGGCTTTGTTTAAAAAAGTACTTAAATTCAAGAGTAAGAGGGACAAAACAACAATAAAAGTGAAATGAAATGGTTGTAACAGAGACTTCTGGCTATATACTGTAGTGCTCTTGAACTCTTGCATATTGTTTGTTTCTGCTTTTTTAGTTACAATATCTTTATTTTTGTAGTATCAAACCATATTTATGATAAAGGAAAATGTTTCTGTGAAACGAAGGTATATAAGAAGATGAAACTAAGCATTTTAACTTGGTTTATTTCTGTACATATAAGAATGGCTTTCAAAGTCTAGTTTGCAGCATTTTTATGTCTCAGTTCAACTTAAAAGTTAGAGATTATTAAACAGATTTGAATTACAGGCAGAGTAATTATTAAACTCCATGTCTGATTTCATTTCTTTAGTTAAAAAAAAACTGTCAGAGTCTGCCTGACAAAGTCTTGGTTGCGCAGCAGCAAAGATTTCGATGAAGAATTTGATGAAACTGAGGTTTAAGCATAACTGGGAAGGAAATTTAGCCCAGTCTTCTTTGTAAAATCCTCAGTTCAGCCAAAGTGGAGGATAAAGCAGTGGAAAGGCTATACAGTATATCATAATGGGTGGTAAGTGGTGGCCTAGTGGTTAGGGAATAGAGCTTGGAATTCTGAGATTCTTAGTTCAAGCCCCACTCCCACAGACTGCCACTCTGGGTCTCTGAGCAAGACCTTTAACCCCCGATTCCTCCCGGGCGCCCCACAATGGCAGCCCACTGCTCCCCAAGGTTATGGGTTAAATGCAGAAGTAGATTTGTCCGCTGTGAGATCACTATAGGTTAATTTATAATTATACAATGCCACAGCAGCTCAAGTTGATTGAATTCAGGACTTTGAATAGGCCATTCCAAAACTTCATATTTATGTACTAATTTATTAAATATAGACCTGATGGTGTGATTCAGTTTAATGTTTTGCTGCACTTAAGCTTTTAGTTATTGATTGTTGGCTAAGATCTGTTATTCAGGAATTCATGGTTTCATCAGTTATGTCGACTTGTCCAATCCCACCCATAAATCTATCACAATTACGTTTGACAATCAGTATGACATTTGTTACATAAACATAAGGATATATGTACAGGATAAGCATATATTCTTTATCAGAACTGGCTTTTCTTTCTACTTTCTTTTTATTTAAAACATGACTGCAAATCTACATCCCTTTCCTGTAATCATCATTTTTCTCTTGTAAATTTTTACTGCATTTTGTATCTATAATGTCTCTATGCTGTAAGTGCTTGAGAAGAGTCATATTTATTGTTTGTGTACAAGATCCTGCCTCATAAAGCTGATTTTGAAGACCCGCAACTTTCCAAAAGTTTCATTTTTGACTTTAAGTCGACAAAATATTTCACTAAACCATTAAGATTTTCCTCCAATTGTGAGACTTTTTTTTTTCCTTTTTTCTTCTTTTTTTTGTCATTTGACCTTTATTTATAAAGGTTTTCTTGCTGAGATCCTGAGATCTAATTTACAAGAGAGACCTTTTTCTGAAATAAAATGACAAACACAGCAATAGAACAAACAATTAAAATACTTGACTCAGTGAATAGGCTGATAAAATGAGCTAAAAACAAGAACACGTTTTTTAAGAAGCGTCTTGCAATTTCTGCTGACAATTAGTTATTAGGTTTAGGGGTAAATTACTTTTTTTTGTATAAGGTCAGGTTAGATTATTTTTCTCATCAAAACAAAATCATAATTTAAAAACGTCTTTATGCTTTTTCTAAGCTGTCTTTGTCTCATTAAGAAAGAAATCATTACAATAAAAATATCTATGAAATGTTTTTTATTATTATAGTCCTGTAATTATTATCCCTATTCTTATTTTTTTCCTTTGATCCTTGCATAAGCAGTCTCACAGAGTGTAGCAGAGTTGAGCCCCTCTGTAATTGGTTGGCTCAGAGGTATATATTGACATGTCAGAGGGTTTTGCATGTGCTTCCCTGCTCAGTTTGACGGTGCATCAAACATCAGTTAGAGAAGCATTACGGTAAGTACCGATAGTGACTTTATGGTATTATCTGTTGTATATAATATCCTGTAAATAATAATATACTGTAACGTTCTACAAGAAACTAATAATGGTATTTTCCTTTTATATTCATCCCAGATTATTTATGAGTTTCTCTAAAACGATAAAATAAACTAATTGTTTTATATTTTCAAATAATTCTTGAAAACATTGTAAATTGAATATAGATTTGAAGTGAATATATAATTATTTACTAACCACAGATATTTCCACAGGAATCAGTGACAAAGATCTCAACTGCTGGACAAAGAAATATTCTAGCTCCGTCTAAAATGTGTGACCATCAAGAGAAAGAAGGGAAACACAGAAAAAACAACAACTCAAAAGCTAAACAGGTGAAGCAGCATCACCATCATCAAGTCCATCACCACCATCATTACCATCACCGGTCTGATGACAACGTCAGCCAAGAGTAAGTCGTCACTGTTACTGCAGTTCTCAGTATCTTTGAAGTATCCACACCAGAACCTTTTCCTTCTTTTTTTCACACCACAACCACAAAATCTAAAGTATTTCATTTAGATTTTATTTGACATAAGTATACAAAGTTAATCACAATTGCAAAGATGAAAAAAAAAAACAATCTGGATATTCTTTTTTAATTTTAAAATATATAGCTGAAAATGTGAGATACGTTTGCATCTAGCTTCTTTTAGAGGGACACTTATCAGGAGAGTCTATGAGAGAGAAAATCTTTCTAAACAAAGAGCCCAGTTGTTTGTAGTTCAACCTCAGCATATATCTAACTATTCTGTGAAAGGTTCAGATGTTTCTTTAAAATTATTAGTGAATAAACAGCTTTGGGGAAAACCAAGGAAAATGGATTAGAGATCAAATTGAGAAGACACTGAGAGCAACGTAAGTTAAAAACATGATTCGATCTTACTGAGCACTTTTCTGTCTATCATCCTAAGAAAGCATGACTGCACACCTAAGACCTGACAGGCAAAGCAAGGAGAGCATTATTTAGAGAAAAAGCCAAAGGGCTGTTAGTAATTCGGGAGAACCTGGAGAGATCCATATTTCGGATAGAAGAACCTGCCTACAAGACAATAGCTGGTGGGCGCAACAGATTAGGCATTTATGAAAAAGTGGTAAATACAGCCCCAGTAAAAGTCCCATTTATTGTTTGCCACAAGTCCTATAGGAGACACAGCATACACATGGAAGAGGGTGTTTAGATCGATTTCAGACAAACTGAGATTTTGACCTCCATTCAAACTGATATGTCTGGTAGAGTATTGTACTGAACATCCAATTAATCACAATATCCCCAAAATGAAGCACTGTAGGCAGCGTCATGCTTCTTATGTAGAAGGACAGGTGGTGGTCAGGGCCGACTGGAGATTTATTTAGCCAAAAACTGCTCAACCTTGGAGGAAAACCTGTTACTCATAAAACACTTAAGACTGGTGAAAATGTTGACCTTCAAGTAGGAGGAAAAGTCTAAACACGCAACAAGAGTCAAATTAAGTTGGCTTGGAGTAATGCATACAGACTATAAGAGCCAAATCAAATTAAGCAAAAAAATCAAAAATAAGAAAATGCGAGACACACAAATATTTTACCTCAGCTTTGTAAAGGTTGGTAGAAACATACCCCAGAATTTTTCCAGTTGTAGCTGTAAGAGGTGTTTCTACAAATTATTTATTTTTATTATTATAGTATTCATTGGATTAGAAAAACATTTTTTCTAAATTCCATTTGTGACATTTTTGGAGACCATGTTTTCCTTCCATTTTAAAGTAATATCTCACAATTGAATAGAAACAACAGCTTTATAAAGTATAATTACAATTGCGCTGTTTTTGTTTAGGTTTTTGTCCCCCCTAATTTTACATTATTCATTTACAGACAAAGTTATATTTTTGTAAAATGATCTAACATTCTAACGGAATAATGTTTTTTCAACAGAACCCTCTCAACAGTGGATAGTGGTGATCATCAGCAGCACCACCGAAATCACGGAGAAAATGATGGGAGCCATTCTTCATACACTCACCACAACCACTATAGGCCAAAGCATCGTAATGCTTCTGTTTCAGAGACCTCATATGATTCCTCATCGTCAACATTTTCTTCATCAACATCCTCTTCCTGTTCTTCTTCTTCTTCCTTTTCATCTTCCTCCTCATCATTTTCGTCCTCCTCTACAACATCATCCTCCACTTCTAGCCTATCTACTGGAAACACCAGTGACTCTTCAGAGAGAAACACTCACAGGAAGCCTCAGCATTCCCAGTCTTTTACTGACATTTCTATGAAACATCGGTATTTTGAAGAAGAGGACGACACCATCCCTTTAATTGATAAAAGAAGAAGTCTACACAGGTCATCTGCTAAAAAGAAAAAACAAATAGCGAAATCCTCCCCCAGCTGCCCTATTAAGACAGGCTTTAACGATCATCAAACAAGTGGTATTGGGAATAATGGAAGCTTCCGCAAAACCAAATCACTGGAAGATCTCACAGCCTCTAAAGAAGAAGGAGGAAACGGAAGCAATGAATGCGAAGATCAAGAGATGAGCAAAAACGTGGCCAAAAAGAATTTAGCTAAAGAAAAAATGAAGTTTTCTGCCTTCCTTAATGAGATCACACGTCAGGTGCTTAGCCCAATGAGACTCAACTCTCTTGGGGTGACAAACGCTCAAAGACCCTGGAGTCCAGGACAAGTCTCTGCCAGATCCAGGGAGACAGACAGCAGCAATGATAGACTCAAACAACAGAGAAGCCGTGCTGCAAGTGCAGACTCGGCTTGTTCAAGCAGGCGTTCCCATAACAGCAAGCATTCCAAATCTTCTCACCTGTCTCACTCTAAAGCTTCAAATAATCCTGGTCACCATTCAGTAAGTCCATCTGGTCCACTGAGACGGAGAAGCTGTCACTCAAGGTCTCCTGCTCATGACCATCAATCCAGGTTGCCTTCTCGTAAGCATTACCACCACCATCATTCCAACCACCATCACCATGACCATAAAGACTGCAACAGCCCAATTCATCACCAAAGATATGACCGAGAATCCAGACATCACCATCACCATAGGCAACACAGCACACCACATTTCCATCAGTATGGAGACAAGTATCCCGAACAGCATCGCTGTGCAAATCACAGTCATGACCACCATGAAGATATTGTTAGCCCAATTCATCACCATGAGAACCATCATAGTTCAGCTCACCACCAGCACAGTCATTCAAACTCCTGCCCTACCACTCCACATCTGCATAGACGCCATAGTTCCACAGGTGACATTGGAGGTCATCACAGTCCAACACGTCGACATCATCATAAAGAACACAAGGAACGACCAAATCGCTTTTCCAACGAAGACCAACACCATACAGATCAACATCCATCCCATGATGATCAACATAATGAAACCAAAAAGCACCACCATACAGACTCCCACAGGGAAGTTAAGCGGCGTCATCATGGAGATCAACACAATCAAGGTATCCACCACAATGGAAATCGTAGAAGTGTAGGCCATCACCATCATCATCATCATCGTGAAGATCACCAAAGTTCAGGCCACCATCACCATGATGTTGTCCACCACAATGCAGACCACCATCATCATGGAGACCATTCCAGTCGCAGCCATCATCACCAGCAAAATCACAACAGTCCAGGCCCCCTTATTGATACAGATCACCACAGTTTTGGTCATCATCAAGATGCAGAGAGTCACCATCATGGAGACCACCAAAGTCTAGACCACCTTCATCATAGAGCACACCACAATTCAGATCACCATCATCATGTAGACCATTACAGTCCAAGCCATCATCATCATGGAGACCATAAAAAATCAGATCACCATCAGTATGCAGAAAACAACCATTATGGAGACCATCACAGTCTAGATCATCATCATGATGTTGAGCACCAAAGTCTGGGTCACCGTCATCATGGAGGCCACCACAATTCAGATCACCATCATCATCATGGGGAACATCATCATCATGGAGACCACCACAATTCAGAAAGTCATCATGGAGGCCATCACAGTCCAGGCCAACGTCATCATGGAGACCACCACATCGCAAGCCATCATCACCACCAAGACCACCACAGTCTAGGCTATCATCATGATGCAGACCACGATCATCATGGAGACCACCACAATTCAGACCACCCTCATGAAGACCTCAACAGTCCAGGGCATCATCATCATAGAAACCACAACAGTCCAGATCATCCTCATGAGGGAAAAACAAATCCAGGCCATCATCATTCAGACCACAATAGTCCAGCCCGTCATCAACATGGAGACCATCACAGTCAAGGTCATCATCATGGGGACCACCACAGCTCCAAGCATCATCATCGACACCATCACAAACAAGACCACCATAAACATGGAGACCAAAACATGTCACACCAGGGAGATGGCCACAGTCCACACCATCATCATAGACATCACAATAGTCCAACGCAACATCATGAAGGTCATCACGGTCAACACCACCCTGAAAGCCACATCAGTCCAGGCTATCAACAGGCAGACCAACACAGTCCAGGCTTTGATCATGAAACCTCCTACAGTCTAACTAATCATCATGAAGACGACCCTGACAGTCCAGACCATCTTCATAAAGACCACCACAGTACAGGCAATGAGCATCCTCATGTTGATTATCACAAAACAAGTCTTCACCAAGATCATCCCCCTGAATCTCAGTCAGATCTTAGCCTGAATAGTGATCTTGGACATAGTATGCTTGCTGACCATCAGACTCACATAAAAGACTGTTTTACCATTAGTCCACCTCCAAGAAGAACACAAGAATGTCTTGTCAGCACTGATTCAAAGAACACCAGTAATCCCTCTCATCTAGATGAAGAACGGACATGTTTCTCCAGTCCATCCCATGTTAAAGTAATACTTTATTCCCAAGTCTAAACTTATGGTTTAGAGTTTGCTACGTTTATTGAATTTCATGAGCATAATTAATAATTGATGAAACAATGTTCATCTCATCTGCTCTCCTATTGATTCTGGCGAGTGCATGACCATTATGGTGAAAAATAGATTGTTTGCTGCAGAACAATAGATTGGCCACCATGTACAAAGTAACAGAAATCAATTGAGTATCCAACCGTATTTATTTCATTATTTTGTGCTTTATTAATATGTTCAGTGTTTAGACTTTATTAGAAGTCCCTTTGGAATAAACTTCATCTCAATAATACATTTGTTTCTTGTCCATACAGGAAAACTCACAGGAATTTGGCCAAATCATGTAAGCCCAATGTTTTTCTTTTGGGTTCAGCTCTGAAAAAAAGTCCTGCCCAAATAATAACCCAAGTAATTACTAAAAATGTTTCAATTTGTTTGTCAAGGATTCTGCAGAACCAAAATGAGGGTCGGCATCAAAGTTTACTGAAGACAGCTGTGAGGATGGAGTGTTTGGGAGAAGAATTCATCAGCAGCCAGAAGATCCTGGAAACTGAACTTCAGAGGACACGCATGGAGCTCAGCAACCTCATGGATAGGTTTAACAGGTGCCTCTATAATAAAAGCAGAAAACCGCAGCAAACTGGGCTTTTCTAAGCTTTCACTTCTTTTAACTTTAATTTTGAAGGAAATAATTCCGTTGATAACAATAATATCTTCATAAGAATTTATTGGCAAAGATGAGAAGCAGCCCAGTGTGCAAGGGGCAAACATCCCCTCACCTTTACAGCGCGACTCTAATAGTATTTTTGAATTAATTTCAATAACAGCAAAGTATCAAGAAAAAGCAAAAATTCAAAATGTTCAATATGTGACTAAAACTTCTAACAGTTTTTTTAATAACTAAATATAGAAATGAGAGACTCCAACTGCAACCTGAGCTGAAGATCATTACAGCACCATAGACCTAAATAGGGCAGACTCATCTTTTCCGACTGTGAGCACACGAAGGGTACTTTAACCTGCAGCCAGATACCGGCTCTGGCTTTCTACATCCTTATAGGATCATACATTCAGCCATATTTGGTTCTTAGATACTTGTAATCCCAATTGAGAAACATAGTGCATTTAAAGGTCCAGGTTTGATGAAGACTCGCCTCAAACTGAGCTTCATAATAGAGAGGAAAGGGTCATTTAGCTGTACACCTCACATTATTGCTGGTACAGGACAGGCTGCTGGAAATTTAACACAGCGTCATCTCTCAGGCTAAGAGAGTATGATCTTAAAAAGAAACATCCTGTGTGTAGACAAAAATAAATCTCAGAGGACAACAGGCAGACTGGTTAGACATGACAAAAAGGCAAGCTTATCATAAACAATTGCTAATTACAACTAAGGTATTCAGAAAACCATATCTTAAAGCATAAGTGTAATGACTCAGAACAGAGGCACCTAGGATTCAGGCAAGACAGATAGTGAGATAACTTAGCCCTTTAACAGCCTGGTCAACCAAACGGTTGATCATTTTCATAGGAAAATGCAGGCTGCAGTTGGACAAGGACATTAAGGGGTTAAAAAGTGTTTATTAAAGCAACGACAGATGGTTTGCGGATCTGCAGCAGCAGTGGCTAGGGCGTCCGAGGCAGGTAACTCTGGCGAGAGGAAACACAGGTCAGTGACCACGAAAACCTGACGGAAGATGATCTGAATGCGTGAGTCACTAACCTGGTTTAGTGACCAGGGAGCCCAGAGAATGAGGTGATACCAACCGGTCAGTTGTAAAGACGCAGCGCATGCCGCACAGAGAGATCCAGATGCCAAAGCCTTGAAACACACAAAACTGACAGAGAAGATGACATAGAAAGGCAGGATAATCCAGAGGGGGAAGTCAAGAGGCAGATCCTGGTTCAGTACACAGTAGAATCCAAAAAAATTCCGAAGACAGGTCAGGCAAACACATCAAAACAGGGAAGGCAGGCTCAACGGTCCCAATACAGAAATGGGTCAGGATCAGGCAATCAGAATACGATTGAAAACCTCTTAACAAAGGCTCCAAAATAATCTGGCACTGATGTCTGGGACCAAGCAGTTTAAATAGAAAGAGGGGCAGTTGAATCAGATGAGTAGAGATTAGAAACAGGGCAGAAATAGACAGCTGAATGAAATGAGCAATTAAGCCAGCCATCAGCGCAAAGATCATGGGAATGAACCTCAAAGCAGATGGGTTATAGAAACGGAAAACCATACCAGCTGCCACTACTGTTCCCAAAAACAGGTAACTGAGGCTACAATTAACACATGGAATTAGAATAACAAAAGAAGATTTGTTGCCTGGTAATACAAGCCTCGACTTTAGAGGTGACATTCAGGTGGTAGGATTATAGATTTAGTGTAAATGAAAAGGAGGAAAAGACCCATTCAGTTTTGCATACAGGCTGCTGGTGATATTTTTATTGTGTGGAAATTAATTCCTTCAGGTCACTATTGGCTCATTAGTAGACATGGAGACTTGAGTCACACTAGTGTCTTTATTTTTGTGACTTTAGGCATTACTTTAAAAAATGTTCAGAGACTTGTGACTTGACTTGGTTGTCACTCCAAAGACTTAAGACTTGAATTGAACTTGAGCCTGTTTACTTGAAAGGTGGGTAGTGTTTTTTTTTTTTTTTTGTTTTTTTTTTTTGCTACAATGAGACAGCCAACATCAGCTAAATTTAATTAAAAGACAAATGTTCAGTTGCACTTATTTTGAGCTAAATACAGATCTGAGACTTGACTTTGAGTCGACAGCCTTTACTTGATACTTGATTTGGGACTTGATGACAAAGGCTTGAGACTTACTAGAGATTTTCCAAACAATGACTTGGTCTGACCCTTGCCCCTTAGCCCCATTGAGCAATAATAAGTGTAAAATTAATAGTCTATCTTAGTATGGATGTGGATCACATCCACGTGCTGCACCTAAAACCTCTGAGGAATGTTTCAGAATCTTGACTTTGAATCAGTTTTAAAAGCAACAGGGGATTCAACCCACTACCGATGAGTGATGCCTGATAAGGTGGCCCATGGCTCGCTGAGGTAATCTGCCACATCAATTCAAATGTTCCTTACTCTGTCTCCGGCTCTTTTTTAGGCTCCATGATGATTGCTCCTCCACTCAACAGACCAACAGTCTTCTAGAGAAAAAGCTTCACTCAGTGGTAAGGCAGCAAACATCCTTTTTATTCTGAGAGATTTTGGAGAGCTACACTGTAAAAAATGTTTCCTATTTTTTGAAAATCTGTGTCTTTCCCACCAGCTTCAGAAAATGGAAGGAGAACGCGAAAGGTTGAATTTGCGTATCTCCGAACTGACAGATCAATTGAGTGAAGTTGAATATGCCAACACCATGGAAGAAATAAAAGTGAGATTTTTATTTTTGTCATTACTCAAAAGGAAGACATTTATTTCATATTACCTTGAAGAACTAAGACCTTTGAATTTTCAGAATGTTTTTAGTCTTTGTTGACTATTTGAATTTTCTTCATAAGTCACAACAGTGCATTGCAAAGTATTTAAAAAAACAATGTAGTACATAACTGTGACATGGAAGGAAAAGGATTCCCAGCTATTATTAAGTTTTAGAAAAGATATTCTAAAAGTGTGGCAACATCCTTAATTCGTATAATTAGATTTATATTTACATTTAAAACTAAGGAAATATCATTGGCCAATACCTGAAGTTAGGCCAGATTAGAGGAAGAACAACAGTGCATTGATTCTTAGGTTTCTTCAAATATTCCAACGGAACTCATTTCCTTGCAACTCTGATCATATGATCAGACTCTTTCTCCTGGTTTAATATGAACCACCACCTCAGTGTCAATTCTTTTGTAACCTTTAACAGATTTCTAGTTTCTAGCTCTACCCTTCTTCCCATCAGCTTTGACAAGATTCCTGTAACCAAATGAAGGAAAACATCCCCACATCATGATGCTGTCACTGCTGCGTGTCACTGTCTTACCATCATTTTAATTGGGGTCACATATCTGGCACAACTGATAGTTGACCTTCATGACCTTATGACCTTTATTAATGTTTGCAGGAGTGCCATACTCCTCCCATTCTGATGAACTGAACAGGCTCTGTGAGATGTTTCATCACCTAATCCTGCTTTAAACTTCTCCATGCCTTTCTCCCTGATCTGTCTGCTGTGTTCTCTAACAACCCTCTTGAGGCCTTCACAGAGAAGCTGGGTAAATGCTGATATCAAACTACACACTGGTGGATTCTGTTAATCCACATATACTTACTTTTTCTAGGTAAAATGATTAAAAACAATTTTCTCTTTCCACATCACAACCGTGCACTACTTTGTATTGGTTGATACTATAAGATTCAAGTTAAACATATTGGAGTTAATGACCATATAGTGACAAAAAGTGGAAAAGTTTGAAGGGAACTGATATATTTGCAAAGCACTGTAACTGATCAGGTCTGCTCCCTTTAGGCAACAGCAGGTCTACACAAAATCAACCAACATACTGATTGTGGTGATGCCCTCCCTCAGATTATTCCTCCAATCGCTCCCCCTCCGGCCCAGTTTATGGACGGCCATAGCTATGGGACAGAAGCGACCTCTGCATCAGAACAGGCTCTGGGTTCGGTTCCAGAGGAGGAGGAATCTGACTGGTCCGAGGTTGGAGAAGAGACTCCACGCCTCTTACTAACGGGAACAAACAGAGGTCAGGCATGGAGACAAGAAGCCGACATGGACAAAGACAGCGAGTCCGGAAGTGAGGACCTTTCTAGAAGACACGCTCCCCGCTCACTGAATATACCTCATCTTCAGTTCACTATTCACAATGAGTTCACGCCATCATCCTATGCCAGTACTTTACCATCTGGCTTCAAAAATCTGACAGACAACATGCATAGCGAGGAGAGTTACAGGATCACCACAAGCCCAAATGTTAAGTCTGCCATCCTGATCCGGTCTGCAAGCCTGGAAGAAATCCATCTAACGCACCATCATGAAGAATTCAGAGGAACAGAGGCCATGATGAACCTTCGTCATTCAGCTGACGAAGCAATCGAGGATCTCGATAATCAGATCATTCATCACTGGAGAATAAGCAATGATAGGGACACAGTTATCAGAAGGCTGACGAAGAGTGGAGGACCGAAGGCAGACGGCAGCTTAGCCTGCCTGGAGTCAGCAGAGCAGCTGCTTAATCACTTCATATACGAAACCCCGCCGAGTGAAGGAAGGGAGCCGGGCTGTGTTGAGAAGCTTGGTTGGACAGGAGGGATTTCAGAGGAAGTTCTGAAAGGGGAACGAACACAGCTCTGACTGAACACTGTTAAAAAAAAAAAAGAAATAATCGACTAAAGATTGAGTTGCTGAATCATAACAGATATTTTATGATCAGCTGTAAATAACAAGCCAGTTCTGTCAGTTAACATCTAAAAACACATTATTCTGTTTTCATGATAATTCATAGCTAGCATTCCTCTTCCAAACAATAAGGCAAATCATTCCCCTTTATCCTCTTCTTTTAGTAACATATTAATTACAGTTTAGCCTTAAATGTGTTTTTTACATTAGATTCCTAATTTAACTAATGCAAAAAATAATTGCTGACAGTATTGCAGGTTTAGATAAAGAAAATGGTAAATATTGAAACATGTTAGTCACTCCTTTATTTAGTGGTAAAATATTTTGTGGAGATTTCAAATGTTTAGATATATTTGCTTCACTTTTGTTTTCTCTATCCTGTATTGTAGATATAATTTGGTTAGGTATATTTATCTAGTATTTCTTTCCTTATGTAACCTGGTTGTAACTTTTTGAATGTTGTTTATTCTTATGCGGTAAACTCTATATGCTGATAATAGATTGAGTAGCCTTGTTGACAGAAACACCTTAACCTGAAAAAAAAAACACTGAATAACAACATGTAACTATGTCAATAATGTATCTAATAAAGCCACTTAGTATTACCGGTACATTTCTTTTTTTAATCTTTTTATAGATAGCATAGATCTTAAAGGATTAACTCTTAGTTTTCTAAATATATGCAATAGCTTTGCTATGTAACAATTATTAGCTATTAAAATCTTTAATTGCTTAAATATATTCTTTGTAATTGTAATCTTCAGTAATGGTTCAGTGTTTATATTAGCTGTATTATTTGGTTTATTGTGTTAAATTCACCTAGAATGTAGTTTAAGCTTAATTTAAGCTTAATTAAACATGTGAAATCTTCTGTAGGGATTGGTTAGGTTTATGAGTTTTAATATGTATCATAATATGCTCTAAAAGTAAACAACAATAAGCTGTGATCAGCAAGAATTTAACCTAGAATCTCAATTAATAAAATGTTAAAGTCAAACTAACAAGCTGATCTAATGGGAAAGAGGAAGCTGCAGCTGTTAGATATTAGTTTACATGATGCCACCATATTAGAGTAGATATCAGGGGTTTAGTACTGCTTTTGTAAATATGTATGTATACTATGAGCACATACAACAAATTAAATTCCTGGTTTGTTCATATGATCTTTATCAGTTAAGCTAATTCTGTAATCGCTTAATTACAGACAAGAAAACATTGGTAGTATACAGTAACACAGATGAGAAGAATGATAACTTAGAATTCATAAATGAAGTCCATAATATTTCTATTGAGTAAGCATATTTAAAAGCCAAATGGCAATTTATTTTTGTTGGTTTTTTTAGCTGTTAACCTTCCAAAAATTACTTTGAGATATAATAAAAGATTTTTAGTTCCTAAAACAAATACACCAGTTTCATTCATCACTCTGTTTAATTACTGTTTTGGTGGTTCTGGTTATTTTTCTATTTTCTCCACTATATATACTTATACAACCTATGAGTGGCTTTCACATAATAACAGATGAGAGCTTTACTTGGGCTGTTTGACAGCATGGGAAGATTGTGAGGTAGGTCAAGAAGCGAGCTTTCAAATGAATCATATTAGCTTTGGTAAGACTGATTCCATACCAAAGCATTACAGAGAACAAATTATTCTTAATTTATTTTTCTTGTTACTTGACTTAAACTATTATGGCCTTAAAAACGATAGGAACATTCTAACATTCTGAGGGATACGTAAAAAGATGCTTCACATGCAATAATTGACAGGATTGATAAGGAGAGGGTCTTTGAAATAATGTCAGAATATCTCAGGACAATCACCTGAGGTACCTAGAGAGCAAAGTGATTATACCCCAAGCCAGTGATTCCCAACAGGCCTAGTGGTCCATGAGTGCATTGCAAGGGGTACATAAAAATATTTCACTTCTTTGGGAGTAAAACAAAATAGGACTGGGCTCTTTTTAGCAATGTGAGGACCCAATTGAAAAATTTACCTATTTTTATCAACCAAAAAATAAGGTTTTCTTTCAGTTCACCTTCAGCGTCACACATCCAAATCAAACAGAGGAACAGACTGGATGTAGAGAACATCCTGGCTGTTTTTCACACTGATTTCCTACTGTTTATCAAGTTTAGATGTGATTATAGGGGAGTTACTCAGAGGAATTTCAAAGATACAGGTTTATAATCTGATTTTATTTTGTATTTATCTTGATTCCCTACCAGCTTGCATGAAACATATTTATTTTGTTTGTTTGTTTTATTTGAGATATGCTGATGAAGATTCTCAGTCATCCAAGTCATAGTCATTCCGTAAAAGTTCAAAAAAATCCACTGGACTTGGTTTTCAAGATTTGAAGACGTTTCGCCACCTCTTCAGGAAGCTTTCTCAATTAAAATGTCTGGATCCGCAGTGACCTATATAAAGACTCAAACTCACTGCGGATCCAGACATTTTAATTGAGAAAGCTTCCTGGAGAGGTGGCGAAACGTCTTCAAATCTTGAAAACCAAGTCCAGTGGATTTTTTTAACTTTTACGGAAATTTATTTGAGATGGAAAGAATAAAATACCTAAGAATTAAATGCTCAAATTAAAAAAATTGGTAAAATAGTTTTTATTCTATAATCAGTTATCATACATTCCACTTTTGGACAATCATCAATACTTTTGACTTAGAGGGCTACTCATGATAAGACAAAATGTCCAAAGGGGTGCACAAGTCAAAAGACGTCAGGAAGCACTGCCCTAGGCTTGTGGTTTACATGGTAGAAATTATTTTCACCAAACCCCATATTGTTAGTATTTTTTTTTTCATGTATTAATTTTAAATTTTGTGTTATAGCAAAATAAATAGTTAAACCCAAAGTAATTACACATTAAAGCTGTTTATTCTATGATTAAAATAAGGATTGTAGTTGACTTTTTTGCAATGTGTAAATTCACTGAAGCTGACTACTGAAATTGAAAAGTTAAACCAATAATAAATTGTCTCTATACAGAGAAATGTACATATATTTATCATAGATGTAAAAATGTAATATTAGTTTGGGGCTTTTAATGATTTATTCAAATACTTCTTTTTCTGGATACAAATATAATATAAATGTACAGCTTGGATTATTTTTTTTCCAAGCACCAGTGGCATAGAAAGTCTGGAGTTCTGGAGGAACCCAGAAATCACCATAGATCAAACCAGCCAGGTACTGGAAAATGTTTAAAAATATCAAAATTTAACACTGCAATAATGACAACACGTTTTGTCCCGATGAGTCAAGTCTTTTCATTGGAGAACTTAAAGCAAGATGGAGATAGCATTTTTTTTTCTGCTTATGGTACAAGCATCTTAAACTAAGACTATAGGAATGCATTCTCCAACAGCACAATGATCCTAAAAAAAATCCAAACTGGGTTTGGACTGGATAAAGCAGTTATTATCCTTGCCTCTAACTACATTACATATTAATGGACAATCTTTAAAACGGTTATTGTTAAAGTTAATTGATTGCAACGAAGCCAATAAAATACCAGTGATAGTGCATGTTTACATTTTAATCTGTTAAAATGACTTCAAATCAATGGATGTATGACATATAACCATTATGCCCATGCTAAATAAATTTAACCAAAAGCTGTTTGAGTTTTCTGAACGTTTTATTTCTGTAAATGTTCTGTGCATGTCTAAGGGTAGTGCTTTGTAGGAACTGTTATGAGCCTCTTTATCCTGCCCTGTGAGTTATATTTGTCCCTCTAAAGTCCTCGTTAGCATTTGAAGATAATCAGTCCTAAGACTCTTCTTCTTCACATTCCCCTCGGCCATGGCAGCAGGAGTATCTCATCTTTGCGGAAGTAAGTACGATGGAAAAATAAATTCTACCCTTCAAGCTTTCTGCAACCTAAAATATCTGAAAATGTTAAGCAGTAAAAATAATAATAATAAAATGTACAAATTCATCTAAAAGAAAAACTTCTTTTTGATATTTCAGATTTTTTGTCTTGTAGTCTTATATTTATCACAATGTATTGCATATAGGTATTTAAATCTCTATTCTAAGCTTCAGCATTTTTAAAATAATAAATGTGATATTAATAATATCCAATACCTTCCTGTCAGATTCAATAAGGCTTGTCATTTACGTCTAAGTGAGTAATGTGTGCTGAGCAGACATTGGCCTGGATCTGCAGACCGCTTTAATAGGATAGGTAAGCATTAGCAGTAAGACGCTCCCACCATCCATGTTTGCCAAATCCAGTGTGCCAAATCCACTGTGTGGCACACAGGTTGGCGTACAGTGATCGGTGGAGAACTGGACTTTTTCAGGGCGGTTTGTGGAAACTAAAAAGGTGAACTTGGGTGCATTCAGTCCTGTTTATTTGGACACATCACTGGAGATGTCAGCTTAAAAAGCTTTAATTAAGAATGTCGAACAAACTTTTTTTTGTATTTTGCTTTCAAATATATTTTTCACATTTTTCAATTTTACTCACCAAGCTGCTTCCATTATAGTTTGGAGATACAGTTCTGTTTTGTTGCATTCTTTTTTATTTTTTGGAGGTCTCACTCTAAACTCTGCTCTTTTCTGGCAGACTAAGCGCAGCATCGGGTCTCATTGGCTCATCGCTCTCCTTCCCCTCTTCCCCCGGTAAGACTCGGATTCCCACACTGCAACCATGGTGGTCATGAAGATGAAGTTCCCCTTTCAGAAACGGGTGAAGCTGGCCCAGGGACTGTGGCTCCTATCCTGGTGTGCCACAGTCGCCGGGGCCACAACCTTCTCCCTGGGATGCCTCTTAAAAACGGAGCTCCGCAGGAGATCAGAGGTACATGTCTTTTTAATCCTTGTGATAATATATGATCTAGTATCTTAGTTGTTTTGCTTATGATTTTTAGAAATAAAATCAATGAATTCAGAGCTTTAATCGCTGGAATCAAGCAAAAATCCAATTATTTTTAAAAATGAAAATAACCTCAACTAATTATCTTGAACTTCATGCAGGAATGAAACCAAACATTTATTTACACTATTTTAGATGCTGTAGGATAATATTCCTTAGTAAATTATATCCATAAGCAAAGCACCCATACATCTAACAACTGTCACTATGATTTATGGTCATTTTTATTTTTAGTTATTGACAAACTGATTAATATAATAAAAAGAAAAGCATCATTAACTTTCAATCGATAAAGGTTTACTGTGCTGTGACCCACTTAGATCCTGACTCATCATTTTATAATTCAGGATCTGTCAGTCTCAATCAAACTAATCCTTAATTCTGGAGGCTTTCATTTCTGCTTTTGATAAACCAGTGTGCTTTCATATTATTCTGAGTTTTCTTGATTCAACATAAAATATTTACTGATATCAACACTTACTATTCATTTCCAAAAAATGTACACCATATATCAATAAGGAATGATTTATCATTTTAATGTTCTTGTACTGGTCTGATGAGACAATGATTGAGGTGCTACAGTGAGTCTAAGAATGTTTGGATGAGTCAAAGTGAAGAGCACTATACAAATAGACAGGTATGGTAGTGGCAGCATCATGTTGTGGGACTGCATTGTTGACAGTAACACTAGGTCAAGAACCTTAGCTTAGCATTAAACAGATTGTTCATGGTATGTTGTTTATAGTTAGCTATTACAAAATTACATTTGGTACTAAGCTTTAACAAAGTTTTGATTCATCTTTGAGAAAAGTTAAGGTTGGGAGCCACAACAAGAATATTTATATCTCTGTTGTTTTCAGACCTCCTCAAAGCTTTAAAGCTTTGTTCAAACCAAACATCATTTAACATGTTTAATAATTTTGGAGCCCAAACCTCCTATGGCTTAAATAAAGCAACATTCCCCAATGATTTCAGCAGCACCACCTAGAGGTCAATTGATGTTTATTGGGAAATTCCCTAAAACACTGATGCCAGGAAAAATGCAACTTTAAGGTCCCAGTACAATAAGTTTTGTGATCTCAGATTTATATGAACATTTTGCAGAGATTAAAAAGATAATTGTACATTTTACTTTCTGTTTGAATATACAGTATAACTTAAACAAATTTAGACATTATCAGTTTTGATTCATGCTTGATAAAGCCTTATTTTAGTACCGGCAAAGATGGCAAAAGTACTCACTTTCTGTACTTGAGTAAAAGTACAGATACTTGTGTTAAAAAATACTCTGGTAAAAGTGGAAGTACTGATTAAACTTCTTTACTCAAGTAAAAGTAACAAAGTACAGGCTTGTAAATTTACTTAAAGTATAAAAGTAAAAGTAGAAACCACTTTTTTCATGCCGTTGCCTACATTTTAAATGGATGTCTGCCAATAGGACTAGATCTCCGTTGTGTTCATTTTCAATCATCTCGTCGTCCATGCTACTATGCTAACGCCACCGCCACCAAGCTGCAATGATTTGCCGCCAATGAATACCGCCGAATCTGTCGATTCATCTTGTAGTGGTGCGTCAAATGCAACGTAGATTCCCATCCAATTAGATTGAATTTGGTATTGATGACGTGAAAAATAATAACGGTAACTCCATTGAAATGATTCAAAACTAAAGTAACGAGACAATTTTTTAAAATGTAAGGAGTAGAAAGTACAGATATTTGTGTAAAAATGTAAGGAGTAGAAGTAAAAAGTCGCCATAAAAATAAGTAGTAAAGTAAAGTAAAAATATCAGATAAATCTACTTGAGTACAGTAACGAAGTATTTGTACTTAGTTACTTCCCATCTCTGAGTACCGGTATTTGAAATTTGACCTCTTTGTCAATGAACCACACAGAGAAAGTTCAAAGTTGGCTCATTGGAAATGTTTTTCCTATTGGTAAGAAGGAATACCATAAAAAACACATCTGCTAACTCTTATTCTTTTCTTGGCTCTACTGAACTATATAAATGACAGACAAAAGGACTTTAGGCACAACGTTCATATTGTTGTGTTTTATCTCTTTGTGAAAACAAACAAGCAGCAGCATATTTTCATATATATATATATATCTATATCTATATATATATATATATATATATATATATATATATATATATATATATATATATATATATAGATATATATATATATATATATATATATAGATATATATAGATATATGTATATAGATATATAGATATTACATATATTTTTTTTATTATTTTTAACATTGCTACACAATGTTAACAATCAAAGAGACTTAATCAATGTGATTCAAATTTTCTGTCCTTTTTATGGCTGACTTGTAGGTTATGGATAACTCAGACATACATATCGTGCCCAACACCCTCATGATTGTTGGCCTGGCTTCCTTGGGCATCAACTACTTTGCCTCAAAGATCTGTCAGGACGCTTTGGACGCAGGGCGATTCCCTCGCTGGAAGAACTTCCTGAAGCCCTACTTTGCCGTCTCATGCTTCTTCACCGTCCTCATGCTGCTGGCCGTAATTATGAGCTACGCTATGAAGGGCAGCCTGGAGTCTTCCCTGAAAGCTGGTCTAAGGAACGGTATCCGCTTCTATAAGGACACCGACACCCCGGGCCGCTGCTTCCAGAAGCAGAACATTGACCGTCTGCAGATGGAGTTCCAGTGCTGTGGAAACAACGACTTCAGGGATTGGTTTGAGGTCCAGTGGATCAGCAACCGCTACCTTGATTTCAGCTCCAAGGAAGTGAAAGAGTAAGTAAATATAACCAACTGGGCTCCACATTAAGGTATATTGATAGAGTAAATCTCGTAAATCAGTAACTTCTTACTTCTTCCCTTAGCCGAATCAAGAGCAACGTAGACGGACGTTACCTGGTGGATGGAGTCCCATTTAGCTGCTGTAACCCCAGCTCTCCACGACCATGTATCCAGTATCACCTGACCAACAACTCAGCGCACTACAACTATGACTACCAAACAGAGGAGCTCAACATCTATCTTAGAGGCTGCAGAGAGGCCCTGGTCAACTACTACATGGGCTTGATGAACACTATTGGGGTTGGAGTTTTGTCAGTCTTCCTTCTGCAGGTAAACTCACAGAAAAGACTAAATGCAGACAGACTTTCTGGTGTTTCCATGAGATTATTGTCAAACATTAATTCATGGAACAGAAAGAAGTTAACCAAAGGCTTTCTGATATCTGTTTAAGCCCCTGTCACACCTTGACGATTTAGCCAGCGTATGCCTGACGTCCCAGAATCTTCTAAAATGCTTGCATACGCTGAACTTTCTATTTTTTAAGTTTATTTTACACGTATACATAGATGATGCATAGCGAGACCAAAGCATATGTCCAACGACAGCATAGCTTATGCATAAGGCACATCAGTTTAATGCCCATGAAATGTCACAAGCCAGTGTCCTGAGGGGGGCAGCAATGCGCCCGGAGGCGCCCAGCCTGCATAAAAAGATGTCTTTGATCGCGGTATTAACCTGTATTAAATAAATAAATAAAAAGAAAAAAAAAAAAAGAAGGAAAGAGGGTTTGCATTTGCAGCAGATTCAGCATCATGTCTGCTAGGAAGTTTGTTGGTCCTGGCCATCCAAAATGCTGCCAATACGCCGTTATACAGTAGGATATAATGGCGTCAAGTACGTCAAATACGTTGATATGCATTGGAGGTAAGTTATTAATAAGTTATCCACAATTTAGTCATAGAATTTGGATAAGCTACACGCCACGACTTATGAGTAACTTACAGTTAACGAATGTCAACGATCAGGTAATTTACCTGTAACTTATGGCCCAGGTATGAGCATACGCTGGCATTCATCAGAAATATTGAGCTTTCTCATAATTTCTTGACGTACTTGCCGTATGTCGTACGCATGCTTCAGCATACTTCAACGTGCTCATAACTTATACAAAATGTACCCATAACTTATCCAACGTAGGCCAGCATTTTTGCCAAATTTTTTGTACGTTTACGGCATATGCTAGCAAAATTGTCAAAGTGTGACAGGGGCTTTAACAAGAATTACAATTGGCAAAATTTAATCACTTCCTCTATTTCTTTCCTAAGGGCTCAGTGCTGGTGAGCCTTCGCTTCCTGCAGACCTCCATGGAAGCAGTTGCAGGGGAGGAGAACACAGAGATTGAAACGGAAGGGTACCTGCTTGAGAAGGGAGTGAAGGAAACCATCATGGAGTACCTCGACCCCGTGCTGACGTTCCTGTTGCTCAAAAACCAGGTTGAAGAAGGCACGACTGGAGAGACCCCCGCAACCACCTAAACCACACACATGCATTCATATGTAAATAATTTTTACAGAATGATAAGACAATTTATTTTAATTTGAGAAAGAGATTTCAACTATCACATTTATTTGAATGTCACAAAATAGACATAGTATTTTTTTAATTGTCAGTTTACAATGAATATTCAGCGGGGCGGGTTCAAATTAAAATCCATGCTGGGATTTTCATTACAAATGAAAGAAGCACAAAAGTTACAATGAACAGATCGTTTCAAACAATTTAATGGGATCAACATTTTGCAAAATAAACCACTTTTATAAATTCATTTTTATTTTGCTTGTTACTAACTGTACATGTCACCCATCATTGTTGGACTGTATTTGAGTGTTGCTTTTGAAACTAATCTGCATCACCTTTTTTTGCATTTTTACAACCCTTGTTTCCTGTCAAAGGCAATAAAACCAGCGATAAAGCAGTATTTGATAAGGCAGTGTACACAAATGATTTTTGGACCTAATAAAAAAAAAGGATATAAAGCTGTAGAGAGACATGAGACGCAATGCTCCGCTGCATAACAGGACTTTGACATAAACTACCAGATGACTTATTAAAGTTTGAAGTTACTAAATGCCTTATGGAGTGGTGTCCCTTTTCCTTTTTACTCACAAACAAATCAAGCACATGCAAATAACATCATATATGTGGTGAATCCACAAGCCTGTTTCTCTGTCCTTGCTTCTCCTCTTCCATGAAGGACTTGGATAAGAAGATTGATTAAGCGGTGTCAGTAATGCAGTTAAAGCCATCAAGTGTGTCCCCTTTTCTGACACCTTTCTTAGAGCTCCTAAACCCATTAACAGATGTAATCCGCCTCTTGCTGCCCTCTGCATTTACTCACCTGTGTCAGGTGAATGTAACAGGCACTGTAAACTGAGAGTAGGCTTTATTCTTTTTAATATTCAAATGAAAAACAAAATTAAATAACACTATGGCATACACTTTGACACATACAGTAAAATGTTACATTTCACATTTGTGTGTGTGCATGTTTTCTTTTTTCACGTCACTAATGACTACTATTAACAATAATGATAACCTGTTGCTTTGCAGCTAGAGGTCCAGGTTTTGAAAAATCAGTTTGCATGTATTTTTTTTTATTATTTTTTTAATCATATAGTGTGCATTGCAGCGAACAAGAAAAGCAATGTGATCCAGTTGGAGAGAAGAAAAGGAGAGAATATACACTCACCGGCCAATTTATTAGGTACACCTGTCCAACTGCTCGTTAACACTTAATTTCTAAGCAGCCAATCACATAGCAGCAACTCAGTGCATTTAGGCATGCAGACATGGTCAAGACAATCTCCTGCAGTTCAAACCGAGCATCAGTATGGGGAAGAAAGGGGATTTGAGTGACTTTGAACATGGCATGATTGTTGGTGCCAGAAGGGCTGGTCTGAGTATTTCAGAAACTGCTGATCTACTGGGATTTTCACGCACAACCATCTCTAGGGTTTACAGAGAATGGTCCGAAAAAGAAAAAACATCCAGTGAGCGGCAGTTCTGTGGGCGGAAATGCCTTGTTGATGCCAGAGGTCAGAGGAGAATGGCCAGACTGGTTGGAGCTGATAGAAGGGCAACAGTGACTCAAATAACCACCCGTTACAACCAAGGTGGGCAGAAGAGCATCTCTGAACTCACAGTACGTCGAACTTTGAGGCAGATGGGCTACAGCAGCAGAAGACCACACCGGGTGCCACTCCTTTCAGCTAAGAACAGGAAACTGAGGCTACAATTTGCACAAGCTCATCGAAATTGGACAATAGAAGATTGGAAAAACGTTGCCTGGTCTGATGAGTCTCGATTTCTGCTGCGACATTTGGATGGTAGGGTCAGAATTTGGCGTCTGCAACATGAAAGCATGGATCCATCCTGCCTTGTATCAACGGTTCAGGCTGGTGGTGGTGGTGTCATGGTGTGGGGAATATTTTCTTGGCACTCTTTGGGCCCCTTGGTACCAATTGAGCATCGTTGCAACGCCACAGCCTACCTGAGTATTGTTGCTGACCATGTCCATCCCTTTATGACCACAATGTACCCAACTTCTGATGGCTACTTTCAGCAGGATAATGCGCCATGTCATAAAGCTGGAATCATCTCAGACTGGTTTCTTGAACATGACAATGAGTTCACTGTACTCAAATGGCCTCCACAGTCACCAGATCTCAATCCAATAGAGCATCTTTGGGATGTGGTGGAACGGGAGATTCGCATCATGGATGTGCAGCCGACAAATCTGCGGCAACTGTGTGATGCCATCATGTCAATATGGACCAAACTCCCTGAGGAATACTTCCAGCACCTTGTTGAATCTACGCCACGAAGAATTGAGGCAGTTCTGAAGGCAAAAGGGGGTCCAACCCGTTACTAGCATGGGGTACCTAATATAGTGGCCGGTGAGTGTACATAAAGTAGTTGATGAGTGCCATTGATTGATTATAATCATATCGTTGAGAAAACAAGTGAAGAATTAAGTATGATCAAAGCATTAACAGATTGGGGAAAAAGCAAAGTCCTAAAGGAGGGTTGATGAATGATGAAAAAGTTTTAGATTAGTAGAAATTACTTTATTATTATTACTTTACTTTAAAATTATGAGTTGTTTTAACAGTGATATTAATAATATGGATCATTATGAGTTTGCATGTTTTTATAACCTGTATTGCGTTAGTTTTTCTCTGAGTGACAAAGCTCAGAGGTTAATTGGCTTCTGTGTGTCGGTGAATTGCTCCCGTGTCGTTCTGTTTCACCATGTGATGGACTGTCAATCTGTGAAGGAAGCATCTCATCCAATGACCTGCCAAAATTTTGTTTGTTTAAAAAACAAACTAAGATACAATTCAAGAAACTGGTAATGCTTCTTTTTTATTAAGTGAAATTTTTTGCCAAAACATTGCATACAAATAAAGCATGAAATAATAATAATAATAATAATAATAATAATAATAATAATAATAATAATAATAATAATAATAATAATAATAATAATAATAATAATAATAATATGTAGATTTGCTGAAATTTCTTTTGTTGCTTACTTTTATGCATAAAAGTAGCAGTTGCATGAATCCATTTTGGCTGTAATCTCTCATTTGTATATGAACCAACAAATATTTGCTTGGATAAAAACAAAATAATCTGGTGGATAACAGATGCGATGACGTGAACCGTCACGTGACGAGACTACTGCGCGCTTCTTAACTTCCGATTTGTTTTTGGGATGCAGTTCATTCGACATTCTTAAAAATATGTCGTTCATTTAGATCATATGACGTTATACTGCCGTTATAATATGGATATTGTTATCATATGTTTTAAGAGATAATTTTCGTTTAACGTTTCCTCCATCTCAGTCGGGTTAAACGCATTTTAGAACCTACCTTGCGTCGCATAAGGGAAGAGCTGGTCAAAACAGTTGAATCGTTCAGCTAATGCGAACAGCCCCTGCCCGGAAAGCTAATTTCAGGCGCCTGGCTAACCCTTGTCAGGGAAATACCACAGGAGACAAGTGTTTGTCGACTCATGTTTTTAGCTATTTTTCTTAAGTTATCGTTTTGTCACTAGAAGACGCAGCGAGTGGAGGTGAATTTACTATAATACAGGTAGGTGAACGGAATATTTATTCATGGAAAGTGGAGGAGAGAGAGAGGAAAAGAAGGCGTTGTTGATTGGAGTCTCAGGCAGGGAAGGCCTGTGATGAATTGGATTTGCATGTGGATGGTCGTTTGGTGCATGGCGCGTGTTTTGAAGCTGCTTATGGAGAAATGTCCTGGGCCGTGAGTAGTGAGGAAACAGGAAGCGATTCTTGTGGGATGGAAGAGGGAAATAGTGACAATGAAGGTTGGAAGATAGCAACACCAAAAAATGAGAAAAAGCGGAAAAAACAGAGATCAGTTCAAGGGGAATCTAGTTCAGAACAATCCAGTGATGATTATTCCATACATTCCACAGCACAACAAAATGAATTCAAAGTCATATTCAAAGTCGTTAATCAGGCAGACTCTTTTACAAATTGGAATCCGGTTCACTTAACAAAAACCATCAATAAACTTGTCGGAGAAGTCAAAGGTGCCAGAATTCTGTACAGTGGAGACCTGCTAATTAACTGCAGAGACAGCGCCCAGCAAGGCAAAGCAATACGGATCAACAAAATTGACGGGATAAGAGTTCAGTGCAGCTTAATGGAGAACAAAAAGATCAGCAGGGGAGTCATTGGAGGAGTTCCTCTAAAAATTTCTGAAAAAGAGATTCTGGAAAACATAAGCGGTGCAAAAGTAAAAGAAGTAAAACGGTTAAAAACAACAAGAAACGGAGAAAGATCTGACAGTTTATCTGTGCTAATTAAATTCGAAGAAGAGCAATTACCAAGCAAAGTATTCATCGGTTACATAAGCTATAATGTCAAAATCTACAATCCTCCACCATTGAGATGTTTCAAATGCCAAAAATTCGGTCACATTGCAGCAGTTTGTAAAGGGAAACAGAGGTGTGGAAGGTGTGCAGGAGAACATGAGTACGGAAAATGTGGAAAAGAAGCTAAAATAAAATGCTGTAATTGTGGTGGAGAACATACTGCTGCTTATCGCGGCTGTGAAGCAAGCAAAAGGTCTGAGGAAATTAAAAAAATGAAATTTGAGCTCGGAATAACCTACGCTGAAGCTGCAAAAAGGATCCCATCTCAGTCAGAAAAACCCAAACCTACAGTTCAACACACGGCAAATTCCAAACCTCTAGAGAAATCTCTAAAAATTGATGAAGACTCACTTATTGTTAAAAAGACAAATTTTGTTCTTTTCATGGTAGAAGTGATTAACTGTACTGCACAGACAACAAAAAAAACGGAAAAAATCAAAATAATAGTGAAGGCTGCAGAAAAATACCTGGACATTAAAGATTTGAACTGGGAGATGGTTGGAAGTATGATGGGAGGACCGATGGGACCATCAGAAACTGGCAGAGTTACGATGACCTAGAGTAAATTAAAATTATATGGGCAAATGTGATTTAGTATTATGTTGGTTTAAGTTACACAGGTTTTTTTTTTTTTTTTTTTTTTTTTTTTTTTTTTTTTTTTTTTTTTTTTTTTTTTTTGGGGGGGGTGAATCGTTTCCTGTTTTCTTGCTTTACTCCATATCAGTTGGTGGCGGTAATGCACAATTCACAAGTCTGCCAACCGCCATAAAATCCCATAAGAAGAAGAATATTTATTCATTTCTGCTACAGACTGCAGACAAAAACACGCTGAAAGTTAGCTGATGGGCCAGAGATAAGTCTTCAAATAGTCAAAGTGGCTGCTGAATTACACAGCATGTATACTTAATTAAAAACAGTAAACGTTTAGTCTTCAGTTATGTTTAAATCATTAGCATTGTGTCTCTTATTTAGCTTAAGCTAATGTTTGAATGGTGATGATGGATAATTCTATATGTTTGGCTGTTAATCCTTTTTGGTTCAGGAATTTGCTAATTTTGTCCCTGAGTCTTTAGTAAATGTCGGACTTTTTTATCATTTCCTGACTGGAAAAGGCGTTAAAAGTTGAAGAACTGATAAACAAAACCAGAATGGAAAGTT